GTTGTTCAGCACCAGAGCAGACGAACTCTCCAGTCCAGCTGGAGCTGCTTCTCTGCCTCTCTCTCTACACAGATCATCCTTCTGTTGCTACATTGTTAAACCAGCACCCTGCCTGGTTGTTACCTGTTACTGTTGCAAGTTGTGTTAAAATAAATTGGTTACAGAGTTACCGGACACGAGCCTCTGTCTCATTCCTGAAGATATAATACTAGGGAAGAGAAGGACCAGGGGAGACATGATAGCAGTGTTCCAATATTTGAGGGGCCACCACATAGAGGAAGAGGTCAAGCTATTTGCCAAGGTGCCCAAAGGCCATAAAAGGAATAATGATCAAGTAGTGATTCAATCTAGAAATAAGGATAAATTTTCTGACAGTGAGAAGAATCAACCAATGGAACAGCTTGCCTTTGGAAGTTGTGGGAGCTTCATCACTGGAGGCTTTCAAGAAGAGATTGAAAGCAGTAACTGACACAGCTCACAAGAGAATTTACAGCATTGTAAATACAATGCTACATTTAGCATACAATGCTACATTTAGTATTGGTTGTGTTGAACCAGCCAATAGCTGGAAATGTTATTTATGAGGCGGCACAAATTTATAATTGTTTAGCTGGGAATCATGGAATTATGATGATACTGAAGCTCCTGAAGGTGAGTCAGGGTCAGGAGGTATAGTTTTATATGAATTTTAAATAAACATTTCTAAAAATAGTTTTTCCCAGTTTTATTGTCCTTTATGTCTATTAATTACTTTAAAAAGAGCTAAGCCTACCAGCTTTCAAGGATCTATTGCAAATAATTAGCTAAACTAAACTAAAATTAGCTCTCCTTTATTTAAAAAGGATAAGCTTGGGGAAAGATCTTAGAAGGTACAGAAGTAGAAAAAGTAGACCATTTCATCCATTTAGGGGGTTCAAAGGTTAGAAGATGAAAAAAGTGGAATAGACTTTGTGCATAAATAATCAAGGCACCAAGCATTTGGTTCACAGAAGACTGAATATTCTTCTAACATGCTGAACATTTAATGCTTATAAAAAATGTAGTGAATGGATCAATCAAATTGATTCAAGCTTTGGAAAAGGTGCTAAAATGTTATCATTTCTGTTTTGCCTTGGATAAAAGTGATGGAAAATTCATTTAGTCTATATATGAGGCAGCAGCACTGACCTTCTTATCATGGTGGTGCCTCAAAATCTTGGATTATATCTCTCAATAATGCAGATCCAAATAGTAGACCGCAACATTTGCTGGATACAAGGAGAGTTATAATGCCTCATATCAGAAAGACACACAAGAAAAGGCTATCAAAGTGATTTATCACTTTTAAGTTTTATTTAAAATATTGTGGCAGCAAACTCTGTTTGATCCTAAAAAGTAACCAGGATCAGACATGGTTAGTACTGGGAGACCCCCAGGAAGCCTCTGAGCTGTACACTACAGTGGGAATGTGTGGCACTATTTCTATATTGTTGCCATTCAAATTCTGTCTCCCTGCATTCCCCAGAAGCTGAGTATCATTTTAGTAAGGTTTAATTTGAGCTGTCTGAGAAACATTAACAGATTCACTATTGTTCCATTCTGTGGGAGGTGGGACACCTTAAACATTTCTTCACTATGGAGGAAATCCAATACTTTTACAACTGCTATATGGCTTTGATTGACATGTGGCTCAAAAGCCTAACACAGATAATAATTTGAGCTTGCTACTAGTAAGAACACATGGGCATCTGCCTTATGTAGCTTACAGAGAAAAGGAAAACAATACTCTTCATTGAAACTTTAAGGAATGTGTGTATGAAAGGAATGAAACGGAATGATTTTAGATGTCAGCCTAAACAAACAAGCAAAAAAGAGTAAACAAAATAGTCCTTGATGGAATTGTTTAGTAGACTCACTCTCTCTCTCTCTCTCTCTCTCTCTCTCTCCCTCTCTCTCCCCTTTCTCTCTCCCCCTCTCTCCCCTTTCTCTTCTCTCTCCCCTCTCCTCTGTCTCTCTCCCTTCTCTCCTCTCTCTCCCCCCCTCTCTTTTTCTCTCTCTCTTTCTCCCCCTCTCTCCCATCTTTCTCTCATCTGTGTCTCCGCCCCTCCCATCTCTCCTTTCTCTGTCCCCCCTCTCTTTCTCTCTCCCCCGCAAAAGATGTTTTACCAAAGTAGCAAGGTACAGACATTTAACATTGATAAGCAATCCAAGTTAAAAGGCAGCAAGTAGAAGCTGTTTGTCAAAAGTCTGTAACCAAAGCTGAAGAATCTGTTTCTTTTCTTACTTTTATAAGCAACATGAAATACAGCTAGTCCTCGGCTTATAATGACAATTGGGGCTAGTTTTGTTGCTGCTAAGTGATGTGATTGAATTGTATTGCTTAGCAATAGCAACCCTGTCAGTCTTGATTTCCATTATAATCCCAGGGCATGAAGATCATTAAGTGGCAAAAGGTGAAAATCTTAGGTCAGAACATGGGTGTGTGCAGGCAGGCACTGAGGCAACAAGAGTGACTTACAGGGACAACATGCAACCTTCCCCGATGGCTTCCCCATTGACTTTGCTTGTGAGAATCCTGCAGGGACGATTGCAAAGGTTGCAATCATGTTACTGTAGTTCACTGCAATGTTGTGACTGTGAATTAGGGTATACCCTGAATGTAATCATGTGACTGTGAGGATGCTGTGATGACTACAATGTTTCAAACTGGTCAGAAGTTCCCTTGTTCTGTACCATTGTAAAATTAATTGGGCGCTGAATGAGTGGTCATAACTGGAGGTCTATTTTTAGTAAACACAGATCCTTATGTGGTGGTTTGTATTAGTAGCATGAGACATGGGAGAGATTATGGTGAATGTAGCCCATTGGAGTGGTTTTTTAATGCCTTTCCTGCCAATTTTCTTGGCAAAATTTTTCATAGGTGTTTTGCTCTTGTTTTCTTTCATGGGATGAGATGAAATGAATGGCCTCAAATCACCCAACTCCTTCATGCTTAAATTAGGTCTACAACTTAACACTAGACTGAATTACTTCTCTAAAGTGTCCACAGACAGATCGTGATAATAAAAGCAATTAAGTGGATAATCTTCGATATTTACAATCTTTATAAGCTTTGTTCTAAAATTAAACAATAGAAAAAATGCATGAACTTATGATAATTCCAAATAGTATTATAAAAGCATCTGAACCCCTCTATATCCATGTCAATTATTTCTTGTTTGATTGCTAATTATGACATTCATAGACACTCAGGTTTAAATTTAATAGAAAAAAGGGCTTAAAATACAACTTGGAAACTATTGCTGGATTGATTTAAAGAACTTTTATGCATAAAAGTGAAGAAACTCAGAAAGATTCCCAAAATGAAACCCTAAAGCAGATTGAAGATTGTATTCATTTCATAATAACTTTCACTACATCAGGGAAAATGTGGGGGATAGAAATCTACTTTCCTGTGAAATATAAAAAAAAATAGTGAGAGAGATAATTTTTCAGGTCCATCATGCAACTGTAATTTTTACAATATGTCTTATGGAGCTGTATTTCAAAGAGAAAGTAGATAGATATGTCTCAAAGGATCATATTGTTTTATTCTTCCTTAATTTGCTACAAAAATCAGTTTAAACAGCCCTCAATGCTTCATCATTCTAAAATAATGAGAACATCTGCAGTTATGAATCATATCCATGTCTACCTGAATGTTTTCATCTTGTGCTGTTTTTATATCTGCAACCCACATTATATGCAGCAGATATATTTCTGACAACCAATACTGATAAATGCAGTTAATCCCAGATGCAAGCCAGGAATCTGTAAATGTAGCCATTTCTCTAGGTTATTATTCCAGCAGGCCTAATTTTTGGGGAAAAAATGTCTTCTACCATAAACTGCAATTTGAGCAAATAATTTAGACTTACAGAAAAAGGCTTGGCTTATTCAGAATAGGGTAATGGAATGCATCACTGCATAATGATCGGGTAAAAATAAAATTTAGTACAGCATCACAAACAGCCCCTTCCCCCACAAATTAATCATTCTGCCTCCATCAAAAAGCCAGACCAATGGTTGATAATCCACCATCATGACATAGAACTAAAAGTACTAATCAAACCACAGTCTTTGATGAAGCAACAGAATGATATCATAGAAATCATTAAATAGAAAAGGACATGAAGTTGCCAAAAGTACTTCAGAGAGCTTCTATTATCCAGTTTGCCTAAGATTCATTGTACTCTATAGCAGAACCAATCTAAAACATATTTTCCCATGTGCAATTCAAATTCAGCTTCAAAACCTGATCTTGTGTTGATATGTATTCTGTCCCTCTATTAATGGGCAGAATGTTCTATCCCATAAATGCAATATTTCATGAAAATCCAAAACGTTCCATTTTTTCTTCTAATCATATAAATCTAGGCTAAAAAAAATCCCAAGACATCTGGAGCTTCCATTTTCCATTCCAGAATTTTTTTTTTGTAGTGAACTGGTGGACCAACCCAGAATAACTAAACCTGTATATTCCAAAGCAACAATTCATAACTATCCAAAAACAATGAGGGGGGGGGGACAGAGGGAGGGGTAGAAGGAGAAGGAAGGAAGGAAGGAAATAAACCATCTGGAGTCAAATTTTACATGCATACAGAAATCTTATTCTGTTATTCTTGCCAACAATCACATAAATACAAAGGATGTATACTAAATAAGCTAATGGTAAAATACTAAATAATTAACTTTAAATATTTAAATTTCTTAATCGATAACATTTAAATTAGTCTTAGGTAAATAAATAAATTAATTGTGGATCATTAGTTCTGCCATTCTGTCTCTGAGTGGTGTCAAAACATTTAAAATTTAATTCAAAATATTAAGCTAATATTCACTCTTTTTTCCTTGGGTGGTGAGGAACTCATTCCGTATAGGATATTTTAAGAGTGGTTTATAATATAAGCAGAATCACCTTAATATTTTAGGATCCCATTTGAGTAACAGTCTTGTTGACATTTGCTGACATAATTACAGTTCTCAATTTGTCATCACCATAATATATGACATTACTTTTGCTTTATTTTGGCTGCTATTTGTAGCAATACTTCCATCCTTTTCTCAATGTACATTAAATTGTGCAGAAATAAAAAAAATGAATGTAAGGTTGTGATTAGTAGTAATATAACTATTTTGCAGGTGGTAGTCTAATTACAACAAGCATATTCTTTATAGTATTGTATTTAAAATTCAGAGCGATCCTCAGCACAGGAAGATCAGAAAGTTACAGTATATGTGTATCTGTCCTTTTATTACAAACATTTTTTCTAACTACAAAATTATATCTGTTACACTGTTTTGTAACTTCATTAGAAAGCTGTGAGATAAAGTGGAGAATGACATATTCAAATTCCTTTATAGAACATTAATTAAATCATCAATTTTATGAATAATTAAACATGCCCTAGGCATCTATTTACAAAATACATTCACAAATGCCATGGAATATAGACCCAAGTAATATATCAACTAAGAATATATTCCAATAACCTAGCTTGATTATATAATGATGCCATTGAATATTTCCAATAAAAATAGCATCTGCATGATTTGAGTTATACATCTGTGCATTGAAGAGCAACCATGTTACAATGCATGATATTTAGATTATTAAAAAGTCTCAAATCAAATTTAGGGAACATGTTTTCTCTCTGATGAGATTGTTTCATAAATCTCATTCTGGAGTGTATTATAAAACATTGTTATTGAGTAAAAATAAATAGTGCTAGCTATGCATACTATTAAACATCTCTGTTATTTTGGTACATTTAATCCCATTTCAGGTCCATATAAATTGGTCCCTTCTTCCTTCTTCCAATATGTTCCAGGGAATCTCTCAAAGAGATGAGATGATATAAATACCATGTTTCCCCAAAAATCAACAGAGTCTTATTTTCTTTTTACCTACAAAATATGGCTTGGGCTTTATTAGGGGGGGGGGGAGGGTTGTGGGCCAGCTGCCTACAGAACGTACAACTATAGAGCATGCGCCCAGAATGGCCACTGCCAAAAGACTCAGGTTTGAAGCCACAGAAAAAGCCAGACTGGGATGGTGGCGGCGGGGACAGAGGTGCCCTGGCTCCGTAATGAGAGCTGAGCCATGCATCACAAGGCTGGGAAGTGGGTGAGCGAGAATGGAACAGACGCTCGTGCAACCCCCTCTCCAGCCATGTAGAGTGCCATTCACTAGCATTTGGAAGGCGCCAAGCCGTGAGAGCCAGGCAGCGATGAACAAGCGCTCACATGGCTTGGCGATACCCCTAGGTCAGTGAATGGTGCTGAGCCCAGCTGCAAAGGGGGTTTGCTGGGTGGCTGCTCATGAGCGTGGTCACTTCATGGCTGTTGTGTTGCGCTGCTGTGACAGCACAACACAGCCATTTGCCCATGAGGCTGTGCCCGGTTCTTTGGGAGCCCACTTGCAAGAGAGCAGCCGCCCGGCAACCACCCTCTTCAGCTGAGCACAGCACTGCTCACCAACCTAGTGGTATCCCAAAGGTGCCAAGCAACGCAATTACCTTTGCTTCCCCCCAGGTTCCCGTGGCTTGGCACCTTGGGATACTGTTAGGTTGGTGAGTGGCGCTCTGCCTGGCTGGAGGTGAGGGGTTGTCAGGGGGCTTATATGCAGGGGAGGATTATATTTTTGCCCACCAGAAAAATGTGGCATGGCTGAATTATGAGGACATGTCATATTTTCGGGGAAACACTTTAATATTACATGTTGTCTTTACATAGGAAAAAGACAAAGCTGGTATTACCTCAGAATTATTATTTTTTTAATTCTCCAGGTTCACCAGGTAAGCTTAACAAAATGGAAATTTAATAAAACCAATCTACTTCCACTCAAGATCTTTGAAAATAATGTTTTCCATGTAGTCATTTGTATAGCAGCATCATATATCATCTTCCCCTATAAAAATTTGATTAGCTATTTTAACTGTGCAATATTTTTATAATGCATAATGGAACATCTGTATGCAATATCTTAAAGCAGATATTGCTTTTTCTGGAAAGACTTGCTGCAGCATAAGTGCATTTTCAGGCATGGAGGTTATGAAGTTAGTGGAGTACAGATAGGTTGGTTGCTAGTTTCCATAATTTCCATATGGAGCACATTTTGTTCTGGTTGTTGTTTTTATAGTGTTTGGTTTGTACTTTGTGGTATCGTGTTAGACAAACAGTGTCATGGTTTTCAGATTGAGGACCATATTGACCAATTTAATATAAACAAATAGGAAAAAAAAAAAAACAATTTAGCACCACCGAACTAACTAACTAAGCAATAAAATTGCATCTTGATGATGTCAAATTCATTAACTCAGTATCAATGCTTAGTAATGGCATAGATTTTCCCTAGAATGATCTGCTTTCAATCTGATCATTCAAACTCCAACAGTGACTAATCCATACTGTACTTGAAAGCATTTTGCTGTTGGTTATCTGCTTCTTCTCTGTATTCCACTTTTCCCAGAATTACTGTTTTCTCTAGAATGCTATAGCAATCTTTACTAATATGTCTGATGTAGGATAATATGAGCCTGGACATTTGTGACTCATGTGAAAACTCTAGGTTGATCTATGATGCTTCCCCCCCCCCCCCCTAATTTGTTTTCAAAGCTATCCAATGTATTCTAAGGTGTTTGGGAATTAAGATAATAATAGGACCATCTATTTCTCAGAGGGCCCTATTTCTACCAAACCAATACCTCTTGCACAGGGTTTTCAGAAGCAAGAACATGTAATTGGTTTGGTTCTGCAACTCAGCAAGACAGACGTAGATTTCAGAAAATAATTAGAACTGCAGGAAAAACAATTGCTACGAACCTGCCTTCCAATGAGGACTTGTACACTGCACAAGTCAAAAAGAGGGCTGTGAAAATACTTACAGACACCTCGCATCCTGGACATAAATTATTTCAACTCCTACGAGACGCTATAGAGCACTGCACAACAGAACAATTATACACAAGAACAGTTTTTCCCCAAATGCCATCGCTCTACTAAACAGATAATTCCCTCAAAACTGTCAAACTATTCACAAAGTCTGCATTTACTATTACTTTTAATCTTCTCATTATTCCTATCACCCATATCCTGCCACTTATGACTGTATGACTGTAACTTTGTTGCTTGTATCCTTATGATTTATATTGATTGTTTCCTAGTATGAGTTGATTGCTTATTTGTACCCTATGATTATCATTACGTGCTGTACCTTATGATCCATGATGAATGTATCTTTTCTTTTATGTACACTGAGAGCATATGAGCCAAAGGCAAATTCCTTATGTGTCCAATCACAATTGGCCAATGAAGAATTATATCTATCTATTCTATTAATATTCTTTAAAATGCAAACTCAAAGAATAAAAGGACACAATATAAATATGAAATTGATTTACCATAAATATTTTTCATAACAAGCCCTAAGCATATTTATATAGGGATCTAGCAGTTTTACTTTCTGCTCCCCAGGGGGGGGGAAGGGGGGGACTTGCCAAATTTGAGCTTTGGTTACAATGCTAGAAACTCAAACAGAAAAAAATATATTCTTCTTTTAAAGAATGACTGGAGTCAAGTGTATGTAATGTTCCCTTGATTCACTACAGGAACACATTTTCAAGTCCGTTTGCTTAGAGCATTGTGTTACTGACAGTTTTGTCATTAGCCAACCTTGTAGCTTTTCCACTCTTTTGTCAGGATACATTTCTACAACCAACAGAAGAGAAATATTAATCAGATACGCTGCATAAGATCAATAACTCATACCACTGTTCAGAATGAAATCCAGGAGGGTTCTTTCTCCTCTCTTTTCTGTCCAGAAACTTATATAATGTATAAATGTACAAAAGACATTTCCAAGAATGTTGATAACTCCCCTCCTGAATCATTCTTTAAAAGGAAAAAAATAAATAAATCTTTGATAGCATGGCTTTTTGAGTCTGCATAAAAAAATGCCTTTAACTTCATTCCTTTTAAGACAAAAGAATGCCATACTCATCATCTGAGATACCTAGAATCAAACATTATATTGGGAATTTTAAGATAAGCTCCCGCTGCTAAAACTTGCAGACAGGAAAAAGGAAAAAAAAAGAAAGAAAGACCCTACAGGCAATCATTCACATTGGCTTATAACAGTGTTATATTTTTAAAAAATAGAATAACAGAGTTGGAAGGGATCTTGGAGGTCTTCTAGTCCAACCCCCTGCTTAGGCAGGAAACCCTATACTACTTCAGACAAATGGTTATCCAACATCTACTTAAAAACTTCCAGTCCTTGAACATTCACAACTTCTGGAGGCAAGTTGTTCCACTGATTAATATTACATATGTGTATTTTGTTTAATTCTGTATTTACTGAAATTATTTTAAACAACACAGATGTTAATATTATTTCCAAAGGAAAATCAAGATTTGTGTTCCTTTTTTAGTTGAATTTCTAATGGGATTACAGTTACCTTTGTAGTTAACTTTGAAACCAACTGAGCCCACGCTTTCATCGGTCTGAAGATGCAGCCACATCTGATTGTTCATGCTAACGATTAAATCCGGCACAAAGCTTCCTGTTAATCTAATCATAAACAAAATAAAAAGTCCATTAGCTGTAAATTGACTATGAAATAAAACTATTTTTTTTAAAAAAAAAATCAAGCAGAGAAGTTGATTATAGCACTCTAGTCTTTAAAAGCTAGACCTTCATATTAATTGCATACTAGCATTTGAAAAGAAAAAAAAAGAACTATCAAAAAGGGGACAACACAGGACAAGGGAAGAGTAGAGAGAATGGAAAGAAGAGAGAGGACAGAAGTGGGAAAAGGAAGGGGAAGGAAAGGGGGAGGGAGAGAGGGAAGGGAAGGGGGGGAGAGGGAAGGGGAGAAAACAGAGGAAAAAAGAGAGAAGGAGAAGAAACTAATCAGGAAAAAATACTAACTGGAAATCTTTTATGTTTTCCATAATTGAGTAACTGCAAGCATTTCTCTCTCTCTCTCTCTCTCTCTCTCTCTCTCTCTCTCTCTCTCTCTCTCTCTCTCT